TCACTTTTATCGACAACTTTCATGCAAAATAAAGTCAAACGAATGATAATCGGTATGATAAATTTTTTTTTTTTCAAAATTTTTTTTTGACAATGTGAACAAATTTAGATTCAATAGTAGAAAAAATTATCATTTTAATTGACAAATTCCATAAAAAAGGAAATCAAATGGACACCAAATTTTCAACATTTTCCATGGAAAATTATATACATCAAACACAAATAATTACAATTCCCAGTAAAACATTTTCTAAGAAAATCAATTCCCTGTAAAACATTTTCTTTCTACCCATTTTCTACCATTGCAATCAAACGGACCCTAAAGGTATTCCTCTTAATGAACTGGCGCATAGCAAAGTCAACATATCCTGCTGGAATGCCCTAATAGCTCTATTGTTCGCCATTACTATAGAGAATCTGAAACAAAATCCGTGAATCTGACGAAGGATTTGGTATGAGGGCTAAAAAAATGTGTGTATAAATATTGATGTTGAGGTCTATCTAATGTACTTAATAAGTAACATAGCCGCAATATGTAAACTAAGTAGATCTACTGATAATGAGCAAGTCATCAACGTATCAGAATAACATTGTCTTTGATATGAACACGTTTATCCCATTCCTTGACTTTAAATCCACTTAGCACTGTCGAATTTTGAAGCCATTATTTTGGTGCTTGTTTTAGACCATACAAGGATTTCACCAATTTAAAGACTTTTTTTTTGTCCAAGAATAGTAAAACCCTCAAGTTGTTCCATGTAGATTTTTTCATCCAAACCTCCATTTAGAAAAGCTGTTTTCACATCAATTTGATGTATTTCAAGATTGTGCATGGCAGTAATTGCAACAAGTGCTAGTACCATCCTTATGGAATTTATTCTCATTATAGGAGAATAGGTATCAAAGTAGTCTAGACCTTCTTGTTGTCTATAACCTTTAATTAGAAGCCTCGCATTGTATCTTTAAATTGCATCTTCTTCTTGAAAATCCACTTGGATCCTACATGTGTACACCTAGGGGAAGATCCACTAACTTCCAAGCATGATTTTGTAATATGGAATCAATTTCACTCTTATTGGCCTATTTCCACAAAGGTCTTCAGTACAGTTTATCGTCTCTTTAAAAGTTCGATGTT